ATCAGGTTCCCCAAATATAAAGACCCAGTTCAAAAATGGGCATCTGAATTGAACAGACATTTCTCAGACAAAGAAGCAAAAGCATCAAATAACTATATGAAAAAATGTTTAACATCACTAGTCATTCAAGAGTCGCAGACGAAAACAATGCTGAGGTTTCACCTCACCCAGAATGAAGGGCTGCTATCAAGAAATGCTGGTGTTATTGTGGGGAGAAAGGACCCCTTCTCCATTGTTGATGGAGTGCAGACTGGTGCAACCACTGTGGAAATCAATATGGAGATACCTCAATGAACTATGATAAGAGATGTCATTTATCTGCTGGATATCTTCTCAAAAGAATTAAAAGAATCATGCGCAGTGATATATGCACACCCATGTTTATAGCGGCACAGTTGGTAATAGCTACAACTTGGAAACAGCCCAATGTCCATCAACTGGAGACTGAATAAAGAAGTTGTAATTTTTTTTATAAAAATTAAGTACTGGGGAAAGGATATAGCTCAGTGGTTCCTCCACCTGCTTTAAAAACACAAGGACTCAAGATCATTCCCTGGTACCCCCCCAAAATGGAGTACTACTCAGCCATAAAGAATGACAAGCTATAGACATTTATAGCTAAATATATGAACACTGAGGCCGTACTCTTTGTGTGTGTGTGTGTGTGTGTGTGTGTGCGTGTGTGTGTGTGCTAGAGATTGAACTTGGGATCTTGCACTTGTGAGGCAGGTGGCAGAACCGCTGAGCTAAATCCCCAGCCCAAGGCCATTCTAAGTGAAATAAATAGGGCACATAAGTGTAAATATTGAATAGTTTCTCTAGTGTGAGAAACTGAAAGTGTAAATAAGGACTAAAAGGTATAACCAATAATGTGAAATAGGAAGGAAAGGTCCAAAGGGGAAGGGGATTATGGGATGGGTTTGGGAAAGAAGGGAATGAAATTAATATGAGAAAAAGAAAAAATGGAAACAAAGTCTTTGTAAATAGGGAGGGATGGAGGGGTTGAAGGGAGGGCAGGGGAATGGGAAAAAAAAAGAATCAAGATAGATTATGTAATGGTACAAATTTCCAATGATGAATGTCATGATATTTTATACCTAAAGTGTTCCAATGACTTAATTTTAAAAGTCCATTAAATTTCTAAGTGTATTATTATATCTAGTGTGACTATCAGCTCCAATAACAAATTAATCAACATTGTTAAGTATGAGGTCCCTGTAGACAACTGTTTTTATAGATCACTGCAAACTGAGAGAGGAAACAGCTGCAACTGGAAAGAAAGAATAAAATTCTGGTCTGGACATCTAAATTCTTTCATTTTAGTTTTAGCCCAACCGTGATCAGTCCCCTGAACTTGAGCATCCTGAAGATACGTTCGGTGAGGCTAAAGAATGTGACGTAGTTATAAAATTCTTTTGAAATCATCATGAAGGTGAACTAAATACTCAATCTAAAATGGAGTAGATTACTTAATTCTCCAAAAATGATAATCATAGTACCAATGTATTACTTAGAAAACATTATGAGGAATTTTCTAAAATACTGTAGATTAAATAATATATAGTGGTGACTTGGTTTATGAATGCTTTTGTTGGTGAACACTTTGCTTCACAAACAGCAGCATTGGGCAAACATTTGCCTTTGTTTTTAAACTCTGCATTTGGTGATGAACAAGACCATGGCCCCCTTTTTCAAAATTGTGCAATGAATTAAGTTTCTGAACAGAATTACCACTATAAGAGCATTTATGTAAACTGCATTATGTTATTTTATAACGTGTTGAATTGTATCCCTCACAGGATTTATCATTTCCTAATCACAAATACCTGTGAGTGTGAACTTATTTGGCAATAGCTTGTTTGCAAATTATCAAGCTAAGATGATGTCATATGGATGAGCCTTAAAGCAATATGGCAGAGATTCTTATGAAAAAGGAAATTTGGAACCAAAGGATGGAGCTTACCTAGCTTACCCAATGTCCTGAGCTCAATAGCCACGCATGAGAGAAATAAATAAATACATGAACCAATAAATAAATAAATGGCAAATACAGAGAGATTTGGACCTACTGAAGGTGATGTGAAGACACAAGGACAGCACCATCTACATGACAAAGAAAGCTTGCGCTGCCAGAATCTGGAAGAGACAAAGATGAATTCTTACCAGGATTTGGGAAATCTGGCCTCCAGAACCATTAGAAGAAATTTCTTTTTTTTTTTTTTTACATGTTAATCTCCAATTCTATTCTTTACAAAATATCTTTATTTATTTTCTCATTGAGTTTATTGGTACACTTTAGGTATACAGTACAATTACATTCATTATTGGCATCTTGTACTTTTACATGACAGGTCTTGGTTCTCATTTTTTCCCCTTGTCCCTGCCCTCCCTCCACCCTCTCCACCTTTCTCTACTTACAAACATTTTGTTTCCATTTTTTCATTTTCTCTTTTCCCTTGTTTCCTTTCCCCTGACCTTCCCACTTCCCCTACACCTTTTTGTGCTTTTCTTCCTATTTCACATTGTCAATTATACCATTTGGTTCTTATTAACACTTTTAGTTTTTCACACCACAGAAAGTATTCAGTTGTTAAAAAAAAAATAGAAGAAATTTCTGTTCTTTAAGTTTCCCAATGTGTGGTAGTTTTGCTGCAACATTCTTAGAAAACTAATGCTTGTAGAATAGGTTGTAAGAAACCACCTTACATTTTACTTAAAATTTTAATTAAATTTTAACTTTGAACTTAATGTTATCATTGAACAACTGCTAGTAGAATACTGTATAAGAACCTTAAAGCCAAGTGTCTAACTTCCCTTATCCCTCATAGTATAATTCTTTATGTATTGTATCTTTATATTATACATCATTCAATGCAATTTTATGCTATTTCAAGTACTCATATACTTTAAAGTAATTAAGAAAATATTGTATTACCCATATAATTTTAATTACCCAAATATTTACCATCACTATTGGTATTCTGTCCTTCTCAAGAAGACTCAAATTTTTTCTCATATTTGATTTTAATGTGAAAACTTTATTTTAATGTTCTTTGTACTGAAAATCTGCTGCCAATAAATTTTTCTAGTTTCTTACATCTTAAAATGTATTTAGTTTAACATTATTTTTGCAGTTTTACCAATTACGCAGATTTGAGTTTTTTTTTCACTTAGTGTTTTCAGTGTAATTTTTCTAGCCCTTCTGAGAAATAAGTAATCATTCTCCTACCTAATGTGTCATTTAAAAAATTGTCTTCAAGATTTTCCATCTAGTTTTATTTGTATTACTAGCACTATATGATCCTTAAGCACAGTTTTCTTTTCCTTTTTCTTATCTGGTATTCATTCAACTTGTGTGATAAGAGGAACCCATTATATTTTAAGACAATTTACTCAGATTGTATGTATATATGCATATATATGCATTACATACTTCAAAAACATACACACTTTTACAAGTTTATTGATTTTTATAAAAAGTATGCTATGCTAAAATTGTTCCTATGTGTACCCATTAATATTTCAAATTTTACAATTTTTAGCTTTGAAATTTCTATTCAGGAATTTATCTAGTTTGCATTTATTAGTTGAAATATTGTATTTTTTCATTTATTATGTGAATATTTTATTTTATGCCCTTAAGGAAAACTATAGATCTATTCAGGATCACCTGAATGGATTTTCTCTCTTTTTTCATTTTTTGGGTATAAATCATATTTCCTACTTCCTTGTATGTCTGATAATTTTCAAATAAATCTTTAGTATTTTAATATTATGCTACAAAGACAATATTTTGCATTTATTTTAAAATTACTGATTTTATTATTTCTTGTGTTTAAACATGAAGTTAATTTTCTGAGGCCAAATGACACACATTAATATACCAGTTAAAATTTTCCAGCCTTGGTCTGTGGATTTGGTTCAGTGTTTCTGCCACCTGCCTCATAAGCACAAGGTCCCAAGTTAGATCCCTTCAAAAAAAAAGAAAGAAAACAAAACAAAAATCCAGCCTTAATTGGAATTTTGAGTTCTGCATTACATGCATACATTAGGAGCCTGATATCTTTCTTAGAAGATTTTGTGTCCAGACTCTGTAGCTGGATTGTTTTGTTTTCTGGCTGTAGTTTTCCCAGCTATGTGATTGCCTGAAGCCCCCTCCATGATTTTTCAAGGTAATAAACATCTATATTTCTACTTAACTCTTAGATTCCCCATGAGTAGGCATCTAGTAACAGTCTTTAGATCTCCACGAGGAAGTTAACACTGCCTTTCCTATATTCCAAGGTTTCTTCACATTTTTTTTTAATTCACTATGTTTGTTGGTACATTTTAGGTGTACATTATGATTACATTCATCTTTGGGAATTTGTACCTGTACATGGCATATCTTGGTTCTTGTTTCTTCCCATTTTTCTCCCTCCCTCTCATCCCTCCACCAGTCCCTATTTATAAAAGCTTTGTTTTTGTTTTCCTTCATTTCTTATTTTTTTCTTTCCCGTTTTTCCTTTCCAACAACCCCTCCTAGTTCCTCTTCCCTTTTTAACTTTTTCTTCCTATTTGACATTATCTATTATACATTTTGGAACTCACACCAGAGAATCAATTAATTATTTACATATGTGTGTCCAATTTATCTCACTTGGTTGCATTTTAATATCTCTATCAAATGATTCAGAATTATTTTATAATTTCTCAAGAGTATATAGTTGGTTTCTGTGGGAGGATTAATCTCACAAATCCTAGTTGGCATTTATCAGAATCAGAATCTAACTCCTATCTTTCCCCAGTTTTTTTTTAAATCAGATGAGGTTTATTTCTCTCTGACTTGATAGAGATTTGTTGTAAAGTTATTCTGAATACAGACAGATCTATTGAGTTTGCTTTCCTCGAAATGTGGATTTAATTTCCAGATCCAAAATTAAAATTAAAATTATTTTCAATCCCCTGTCATCAGAAAGGTGGAAGAAGTTAATGAGAGGATCTTTCTTTTTAAGGGTATGACTTGAAGATTTATAAATTATTTCCAACTGCTCCCTGCTCATCCAGATTTATTCAAACAATGACAACTCTAAGTGAGGTAAGGAAACAAAATTTCCATATACTTAACAGAAGCATAACACAGATAGAATAATAACAGTAAGAAAATAGAAATGTCTCCTCAGAAAATGTATCCCGCTCTTCTAGCCACCCAGCTATCCAGCTGTATTCATCACAACCACAATCTGCCTGTGGTAGAATATTTGTGTTACATCAAACCAGGTCTACAAATACCATTTCATCCTGTTTTGTGTAGCTCCAAGTGTCTAAGAACCTACTAAAACCTACATAAGTATTTACTCTGTCCTTACACGTCCGTCCAGTGTACAAGGATGAAACTGGAATAGCGTGTTGGTGCTAGAATAAAAACCAAAATCTGAAAATGGAAGGATTTAAAGAAGGGCAGTTATTATTTTATATAAATAATGAAATGATATATGTCAGTAGTTGCATATATATCTGCCCCTACTACTACAGTAACTTTCTCTTTTGGAACCTGGACTAATTCTCTAAGTAAAATTTATATATCCATGTATCTCCCTGGTCCATGACCTTACCCTCTGAGAAATTATTTCTCTTATAATATTCCTCACAACCACATACATTAATGAAAATTAGAAAATATGTTCTACAGTAGCAATTTTTGCCATTTTTCCATCTGAGTCCAAGTTTATAGCCTCGATGTTTGAGCAATTATTATCTCTTGGAAGACATCTTTGAGTTTTTTGGCAATAAAATACAAAAAGAAAAGAAAAAAAAAACAACAGTTTCAGAGTAGATATTGCATGATGCCTTAAATTTAGTTGCATGTGTGCATATCCACAGTCAAATACTTTTCATATGTGTACTGCATGCCTTACTACTATGTGTGTGCGCCTCTGTTATGTGTGGCATTATGTCTTCTTCCCTCAATTCAGTGGAGGCCTACCTTGAAAGCACTTTCTTATAAGTTAAGCAGTAGTGGAGAACATTGGGTGACATCTTATTGGCTAGACATATGGTGGGGTTATTTTTCTTGGGTGAGGCAAAGGAGTCACGGACTAGGGGCAGGACTACAGCCTGTTAGACACAGCCTCTACGCACTTAGGCAAGTTAGCTCCGCCTCAGAGAGGTTTTCGAGTTTGCTCAGAAGACAGGAGTGAGGCACACCTGGCCCAGCCAGGCTTGAACTTCTCCCACAGATAAATCTCTGGGAAAGATTCTTTTAAAAAAATCATAGTTGGCAGATTTGCAGTATTTGCAGTACCTTTTCTTAAGCTTTTTCTTGTTTGCAGACTTAAATATTAGCTATGTTAATCAAAAGAATATGATATTTATGATGATATAGAAACATTAGCTATAGGAACATTATTAGAAATTTCATAAGCAGACACATACAAGTTTAATACACTTTTAACAACTCTGCAAAGACAATTTAATTTTAAAAAGATCACCTTTCTTACAATTGACTGTAGAAAAAGTAGAGATGAATATGCCAAAAAATGACACAAATTAACCTAAACCCTAACCTCAATCATAATAAAGAATAACTCAAAGTTGATCATGGGTTGAACTATAAAAATGGAAATGAAAAATAAATGTTCTGAAAAAAATCTAAGCAAAGCAGTATCCCAGCTTACTATGTTGACTTTTAATTGTACAGAAGTTAATACCGATATTGGTCTAGAAGTGTTCTATTTTTTCATTTGTACAGTAGTAATGAACAATGTTAAATATGTAACATCTTGTGTATGCGCATTTAATTACAAAAACTAAAAGCAGTTGCTAGCCCCCTCGGAAAAGGAACAGAACAATCTTTATGATGTAACAAGGAACTTACCATAGAGAAATAAAGACATATGTTGACAGAAAAATATCATATGTTCATAGAAATTTTATTCATTATTACCAAAAAATGGAAACAACCCAAATGTTCATCAATTAAAATATTTTTACTGTTAGGTTTTTTTTGTTGTTGTTGTTATTTTGTTTTGTTTAAACAGGGTCTCACTATGTAGTTCAGAATGACCTGGAACTCACTATGTAGCCCAGGCTGGTCTCAAACTCACAGCGACCCTCCTGCCTCAGCCTGAGTGCTGGGATTACGGGCATGCACCACCACTCCCGGCTCTTATTGTTAGTTTTGATGGTAGTGATAAAACTCTAAAAGCTGTCAAAACACATATAGATATGCACAATATGCATATATTTTATTATACTGTATTATTTTTTAATAACTTCATATGAAAATTAATACCAGATGAATCAAAGATGTAAATATGAAGACAGAACTCTTAATCTGCTAGAAAATATCATGCCTAGATATCATTGTGACTTTGCCTAGGAAGCAGCATTTCAAATGAGACCTTGAAAAGAAAAATAAAACTGATTATTCAACCACGTTAAAATTAAGAATGCCTATTTATCCAAAGAGTTCATTTAGTGAGAAGCCACAAACTGAAAGACAATACCAGCTGAAGGTTAATATCCTGAATGCATAAAGTATACAACAAATCATTAACCAATAAGACAAATAACTGAATAGAATACTTGGCAAAAACTTGATTTGAACCGGCACTTCACAAAAGATATAAAATAATGTAAAATAAACTTCCGTTAAGTTATTCATATTCAGTACTCAGGATTCATATAATAGTGACTGAAATGAGATAATTTAACAGCCATTATTAAGATTCAAAAAATGAATATCAATGAGAATACTCACACTCAAGTTTTATATGAGCAGGAATTGTGTAGTAGCGCAAGGAGGTTAGTATACCAGGAGACATTCTGCGCTAATCTCACAAGAATAAGGGGAGTGCAGCTTATATAGCACCTGCAGATTTGTGATTGGCCTGAATTTAAGCCTGCTGATTGGCTAAAACTGTCTGAAACGCAAGCCTTCCTATCCAAGCTTAGTGAATGGTCCAAATTAAGTTTTATCACTAGTTTAAACTGAAGCCTGCTGAAGTCAGGGCAGATATTTTCCAGAGCCACTGCGAGATGTCTAGGACAGTCATAACTGTCATTGCAAAAGTTGGGTAGAACATTTGAGCTGTTTGTCATTTGTCACTTCAGCACTGAAAATGACTGGCTGAAACCAGGGAAGTGGAGGAGGGCTAGCTGTGTTAATCATGCCTGAAGGCATCTTGGGAAGGTTGAGTATGTTAATAAGTGTTAATAAACTGCCACATTTGGAGCAGGTTCCCAAACCCTTTTCAGCATCTGGAGTGGTGGGAGTAGCACAGGTGACAGCTGACCTGAACCTCCTATCAGAGCTCCCTGGAGCATCGTCCTAAAGCAACCTCAGGATGGTGAGGACAATGAGGCATGAGGCAGGTTGTCCCAGTCCCTCCTTTGGGACCAAGGGGGAACAAAGGGAAGTGAAAGAGGAAAGGACGTGGCAAATGTAAGCCAAACAATGCTCCCCTCCAGGCTGCATAAGAGAAAGGTCAGAGTCCATAGCTTCTCCTCTGTCTCAGATGGATGAGTGTCTTCAAGGATGACCTTCTAAAATAAACAGCCAAGGAGTGCTGATATCTTTGAAAGAAACATCTAGGGAGATTTTTGCCTTGAGACCTGGAGGTATTGGTTATCTTGGATGTGCAAGAAGGATCTCTGTTCACCTTGGCATAAGGGACTGCTTCATTCACTACCAGGTAAAAAATCAGTGCAACTTTTGTGCTTCTGGTTAGAGATGTTCTAGGTGTCTACTTTTTTTTGTGGAGTTTTTATGCCAGTGTGCAAAGCACAGATGCAAGATGACCACTAGAAGAGTTTGATGGTGAGCGGAAGGAATACGTTACTATGCACAACAGAAACGTTCTTGTTATGACACAGGTAGGCAGGCAGACAGGGAAGAGATGGAATGGGGTCGGGGAAGTAGCAGGTAAAGTGCTAGGGGCCAAAGCCACGAGCAAGATGCTCCTGTTCTATGTTTAGTCCAAGAAAGTAAGCTGTTTGCAATGGTATCTACATGAGGATGAGAATGTACAAACACACTGACTCTTTTATTGTGTTCCAAATGAAGTAAAACCTCCATACTACAGCCTGCTCTGATCCCTGATTACCTCTTTAGCCTCTTTTCCCAGGCCTGACCTACACTGACCATCTTATACTCGGGCTTACTGTACAAATAAAATCCCACCCCGGATCTCTTCTCTCTGACATGTCTATCTCGCTGCCAACTCTTTGCTGTCTTTTTTTTTTTTTTCTGGCCAGAACATATAGCCTTTACATTCCTCTGTCTCACACACACAAGCACACACAATTCAGTCTTCAAGTCCATCTCCTATTACCCAACAGGTTTCAGTGCACTTTCAAGTAACATAAAAATACTTTTTCATGAGCAATACGTAATAACACATGTGGTAAAATTTCTCCCTTAGTACACCATAAACTCAGTGAAGGCAGAAAGCATGTTGTGCTTCCTGATCATGTAAATGTTTTAAAAGATAACAGTGTTTGGTATAGTGCAGGTGCTCAAGAAATATGAGGAGGGGAAAGGTAAGGACAAAGGGATTGAAAGAAGGAAACGGATCCTTTAGAATTTTACATTTTGTGCCATGCTCATAGGGGAAAAAATATATGTGGCTTTTAAATTACACCATATGTTTTGGGGGTGTGATGGATAATAGTGTACATGTTTTGGGCTGCATTCACTTGCATTTCTATGATATACTGTTGATAGTAACATTCTAAATTCTGGCAAAGGGCTGACAGTATTCTCCTTCACATTTGATGCTGCTTTTATTCCCTCTGTTTTCCTGGTGCATCCATCTTCTGTGTGGGTCCAATCCAATCACCTTAGCGTGCTATTTCCTGTTAGGAGAAAGACAGGGGCTGTTGTAGTTTAGGAGACTTAAAATTTAAAATGCGCATATCTCATTATGCTAATGGAGTCTCCTGGGGAAAGGAAGGCCTTGTTTCATAATACTTTTAATTCATTGAACTCATTACCATTTGGAACAACATCACCAGAAGAGAAAGAGGTCATGGGGGATGGAAGGGAGCCAGATTCACAGGTGAGCACCATTCCTGAAAGGAAGCCTTGTTCAGGTGGTCTGACCTGGGTAAACTACTTTGTGTGCTTTGGGTTAAACAGATTCTTCTCCATTCCAAGATTACACAAAGTGAAGAGGACTATCAAAGCCACAAAATTTAATCATAACGGACAACCAAAATAGGAAGATATTATCATTTTATATTGATATGTGTCTCTGTGTTATTCTTTCTATAGCCACAAAACATTGCAACATAACCTCATCAGTGTTTGGTGAAATTATGGCAGCAAACTACGTGAAGTAAGACCCGCTTTTTTATAATTTTCTATTTTTCTCATCATTCCTATTCTTATATGTTAGGGTTTTGTTTAAATTTCAAGCTTCTTTGCATTTTTAAAAAATACTTTTACTGCCTTCTTGTATAATTCTGAGTTTGAACCTTTCTACTTGGACATTCATTTCATTGGGAATGATGTTTTCCTTTCCAGTCAATATATTCTCGACTATATTCCTGCTGTTGATAACAGAGTTGAAATTGTTATTAAAATATCAGTTAACCCTTCTATATGGAGAAAGTGATTTTAAAACTATACTTTAAAGTGTGGGCCTGGTGGCTCATGCCTGTAATCCCAGCACTCAGGAGGCTAAGGCAGGAAGATTGTTGTGAGTTCAAAACCAGCCTGGACTACATAGTGAACTCCAGGTCAGTCTTATATACATAGTGAGACCCTGTGTCAAAAAAAAAAAAAAAACCCACACGCAGAAAAAAACAAAACAAAACAAACAAACAAAAAACTATAGTTTAGAAATGAAATAAATGGAGTAATAGTACAGTTAAGTTGTGTTTTGGAATTGATGAGAAAAAAATCTGCAGACCTACTATGTATGAAAACTTATGCCAATGACATACATAAAAATGAAAGGTGAGATTTATTAGGAGCTTGTTATATTGTGGGCACTCTTTTCAAGGATTATGTTTAGTAAACAATATGAAACTTAGAATCCCATTATATTGGTGCTAATGTACTGTATTTATGAAGAACATGAGAACACATATATTAAGTAACTTTTCCAGTATTCTACAGATCAGAGCAGAACATCAAAGTAAGCCTTGCCTTTGCTTTCAGACTCTAGAGCGTGCATTCTGACCACAACTCTAATCTACATTAGGGTAGTTTTCCTACTACCAAAAAATATAAAATGGCTACAGACATAAAATTACTACAGTTGAGGCCACTGAGACACAGAAAGAACAGTAAATTTGGGCAAAGTCATACAGCCACAAATTGTGGATCCAACATATTATCAGGGCTGCACATATCCAAATTAAGTGATCATTCTAAAACAGCACGCTTCCTTCTTTTTACCGCTTAATAACACTATGCTGGTTTCTTCCAACCATGTTGCCTTCAAGGTAAGAAAAGATCATAAGTGGTACCCAAGAGACTGCTCAATGATTTGTTTGTTGATTCAGCCACTTAACAAACATGAGGCCTTGGTTACATGCCAGTTACATACCATACACAGTTGTCTGTATAAGGGCTATGCTAAACCAGACAAAGCCCTTCTGTACTCCCAGTACGTCTGCTTTGTATCCTAGAATAACTCAGTGCTGCCAAGAGTCAATGTCCTCCTCTATACCACTGGGCAGACGATGGTGCTCTAGAATCTAATACAAAAAAATGGTTACTTTATAATTCTTGACATAGACCTGAGATATGATCGGTCCTGTGGCTGCTGGTAGAATAATATGTTTTACAGAAAATTTACATTGTGGGTGTTCAAAAATAAAAAGGCAAGTAATGCTAAGGAAAATCAGGAAAGGCTCTTGTATCCCTTGAAATAATTTTTCATCTAGGCAGGGGAGAAAAGAAGGCATATTTTCAGGAAGGAGACAATTTGAACCAGAAACTTGTGTTTACGAGACAATTTTCCCTGGAAGAAAACATTGTAAAGGATTGCTTGGAAATCAAACTACTGTGGCACTGGGTGGGATTAAGGTATCTTAACTGTCAGATTTAAGACATCACAATTTATCTTGCAATGATGACAAATTACAGTTAATTTGGAAAAGACGATTTGGAAGCAAGTTGACACAGGACTAAATAAATTATGATTTTCCTGACCATACACATGTCTCTTCCACTCAAATATGCATGCATTTTTTAAGTCCTAATGTCACTTTTTCAAAGTTGCTTGTGGCCACCCTGGTTTCATTGTCAGATGACTTAGTTCCAGTTGAGCTCCTCCGCTTAAGCCATTTAACAAATGAAAAATAAAATTGTCATTTTTAAATAGAGTCCACACATAATCACATTCTGAAATGGTCCTCCTCTGGCTGAGAAGAAGTTGTGTGCATTATAATATTGAATTTTAAATAATATATTACACAAAATAGCTTCCAATTTGATTGGGGGGATATATTTTCATGAATTATTGAATATCTGATGATTGTAGAAAGCATTAGCCATTATGCACTGAAACTGTCATTCTCTCAGCTGTGTGATATATGAGCCAGGATATCATTATTTAAAGTTACAGTTAGCTCACCATGAGGCAAGTGAAAGCTGAGACAAGGATTAATCAGCAGTGTTACAGAAGCACTTTTTTGTTGTTGTTACCTGGGATTGAACTCAGGACCTTGTGTTTGCGAGGCAGGCTGTGTGGCACCACCGAGCTAATCCCTGGCCCAGAAAGAACTCTTTATGGGCCTCTAAATGCTGAAGGAGGGTTTCCAAGCCTATCTTCTGGAGGTGCCTTTCAAAATCCACCTTATCTTATGAACACCCACTTGGCAGGAAGCAGTTACTAATGATCAATGCAAAACTCAGTGAACATAGAGAAAGTTGCATTTGTGTTTAAGTTTTCTTCAGCTTCCTGAAACTTACCATATTTTTGAATAATAAAATGTTCACTTGCATGATGGCAAAAGACATATTTACTTCAATTTGTCTCATTTTTTTTTCTGCAACTGTAATGTAAGTTTTCTGAAGTGAGGGTTGCTATCTACCTTATTCAATGCTCATCCCAGAAATTGTCTAAGGTGTTGGTAAAGAGTGGGTACTTGGTCATTGTCTTATGTTTTGTTCTGTATTAAATGCTCTATAAATTATTGGCTCTGAGTTCTTGTGATTAAATAAATGAATGCTTATTGACTGATGATCTTTATACTTCTTTGTATAAGGTATGCCATTATTCTTTTTATACTGTAAAATAGCTATTTCATTGTAAGTTTGTGCAAGATGATTCTACACTGTAAGAGGAGCATGCTGCTCACAGAAAATGAATACCAGTATCCTTGACATTCACCTTGAGCATAGCAGCCATGTTTCTTGCCCTCATTGAGCCAACTACTCATTTTTTAGCAAATCAGTACAGAGAACAATTATTTATTCATATGGTGAAATATACAATCAAAGGAATTATTAGATGTGTTGGAAAAGCCTAGTGGAAAAGATGCAGTATCTCATGGAGAAGACCTGCTTTGGGGAGAAATATGGAATATCATGGCAGCAAAGGTAAGAGTGAACCAGGAAAGCAGAAAACAGGAAGCAACTTGAGGGTCCCTGGTGAAAGGAACAGTATTTCCTTGAACACACTGCTGTACAACGTGGACTATAGAAATAATCATATACTTTATTCCACTTCAAAATGTGTTCAGAAAAGATTACGTGTTTCACTGGTCTTTCTATAAAAAAATTCAGAAAATAATAAAAGAAAAAACAAGGGAGTTCAGCTTATTGCACATTTGAGATTAACATACTCCAGTATGTGAGGAGCAAAGACATTTTTCTCCTTCCTATCCATGTTACTGAAGGAAGCATTGCGTCTTACTTTGCAGCAGAATTGTGAATTTGTTGCTATGTCACAATTGGAAAAACTGGTGATAAAGGAAAGGGAAAAGTTTTGACATTTAGAGATTCATGAGTTTCTAAGAACATTTGAGTCACTCTGTCACTTTTCATGTGTGTCTCTGTCTTTTATCCCTAACCTATCCATTTCCTTGCCATATGCACAAATACAGACATTTATACACACAATTCTGCATATTATTTCAGGGGTCAGGATTCTTTTTATTATGAATCTCATGCTGATTTCACACTTTATCTTGTAGCTCTTTGTGCCAAAGCACAGCATCTTCCATAGATATTTACCGTAATGGTTTATTTGACAAAAGTTTAACTCTTTCAAGGCATATCTGAATAGAATCTAACTTGTCATACATTTTGGCTTTTTAACAATATTTTTCTCATTTTAAAAATTAATTGAGAAATGTAATCTTTTTGTAAGACACACACCTATGCCTGATCTGAGCTCAAACCCCTTCAAATTCCCCACCTCAGAGCTTGGTTTATTTTTTGAAATTTGTTTTCCTTCATGCCTTCAAGTTGAGGAAGCTCAAATATAAACTGAGTTTTTAAGAATACTATATTCTTATTTTTATACACTTCTATGTTTGCTTTTAATTTTTATTAATGTTAGAGTCATGTGAATTTAAGAACAGCACTCTCTAATATTAACTCTCCCATGATTAAAGCCAATTTTCCATCATATTCAGTTCCTTCATATTTCATAACATGTGCTTTTCCTCTAGTTAATCAATTTTGTTATGAATATTCTCCATATATAAAAGTTGAAATTTAGTCTTGATACTCTTGCTCCCCGAACACTATGCATGCACATGTACCTCAAAACACATGGGACACAATAAAAATAATCATAAAATGGAAGTTTATAGCTGTGAAAGCAATCATTAAAAGAACAGAATAATCCTAAATAACTTAACGATGCATCTCAAGGCTCTAAAAAATAATAAACATCTAAACCTAAAAATATAGGAGGAAAAACTTAGGGTAGAAATTCATGAAATTGAGACTGAAAAGGCACAAAGGATCAATAAATGAAATAATTGATTCTTTGGGAAGATAAACAAAATTAATAAATCCTAGGCCAAAGTTACCAAAAGAAACAAAACTCAGTGAAATTAGAAATAAAAAGATGAAATTACAACAAACACTGCAGAAATCCAGAAGATTATAGGAAACTACTTTTGGAAGTTATATTCTAGTAAATAGGAGAAATGGAGAAATTCTTAGACATACATGAGTTATCAAACCTCAACCAAGAGACATACAAACAGAGACTAGATGAACAAAAAGTCAATGAAATAGAAATAGTAATAAAAACCACACTAAGTAAGGCCAGGGATTTAGCTCAATGGTGCCACACCTGCCTCACAAGTTCAAGGTCATGAATTTGATTCCTGGTACAGCAAAAAAAAAAAAAAAAAAAAAAAAAAA